TTAAAAATATTAATTATATATAATAAATATTTAGTCAGTGTAATATATGAACTAAAATATTAATGAATTTATTTTATTTTAAATCAAAACAAATATTTCTAAAAATATTTAAAATATTTTAATGGAGTACGGATGTATTTGATTGTAAGAAAATGTAAAAATTTAGTCATATTTAATTAGATTTTTTTTCTTCAAAATACTAGTATTTAAAACATACAAGTTTTGATAATTTATATCGTAAGATTTTGTATGATTTTTCAATTTATCAGTAAAACGAAATGGGTAAACCAATGAGAGTTTTTTCTTAACTTTTCTATTTTTTTTCTTCCATCACACCTAGTTTTTTTTATTTATTTATTGAAGTGACACACATTATTAATTTTCTTTTATTTTCAATCTTATACACAATTTTTTTTTGCGTAACTTTTATTTTAATTTATTATAAAAAGTATGGCTCGTCAAATACAAAGACATTCTTTACATAATTTAAGTAAATATTATAATATTTATTTTATACTTGCACTCAATAAAAATAATATATATATATATATAATAAAACACCATAAAACACATATTACTCCAATAAACATTATAGAAAATATTTTTTTGCAAATTTTTATTATTTAATTAAAACAATCATAATTATTAAAAGTTTCTAAAATATTTTACAAAAACTCCTTTAACTAATCAAAATATCATTTTAATAATTTTATAAAACTTGAGATGTTACACAAGTTGTATGACTTGAGGTGTAGACGAGATAGAGGACTCCTTGTCCCAATGTCACCAAGCACAATGTGGATAATGTCGAGTATGAGTTTTCTTGTTTTAACTTGTTGTTTATGATAAATATGGTGAATGTGATGTATGTTGTTGAATCTTTATACATTGATCTAGGATCGTGTATGATTGATTTTGTTGAGCTGAGTTACATGTTATTTAGTTAAATGGTTAAAAGTTAAGTTGTATTGTATGATGTTGTTGAGTAATTGTATTGCGTTAATTGACTTAGGATTAGAGGAAAAGTTGTTTTGAAGTTGCATATTCCATTATGAGTATATTGTTTTGTGATGCTCTAAGGTTCTAATTTGTTGAAAAATCCTTCTTAGGAAGTTAACCCTTGAAAATGATAGTTGAGTCTTCTCTAAAATATTAGTTGATGCGATATGTGGGTTAGATCGAAACATATTGACTATAAACGATCAATTGTTGATTCGTATGTGGATAAAATTGAGACATACATATATAAAATGAACATTTTAGAGTACGGTACAAGGTCAGAGACAAAAATTCCTAACTAAGTACTAGAAGGGCATAGTATTTGGAGGGTAATTGGTGGACTAATCTCATAGGTGGTTGGTTATGTTAGCTAATGTCGTGGTAAGCTCATACCCAAACTGTTTTACTATGACAAGAATGTTAGACTTCATAATTTAAGTAGGAGAAATCATGTTATTAAAGATTAATATTCCATGTGGTTGTTGATCTAGTTGGATTGAAAATATCGGATTGTTTGTTCAGATAAAGTCACTTAAACTATTCACTTGTGTTATAGGAGATCTCTTAATTGAAATGTGTGATGATACATATAATTGTTGTGTTGTGCATATGATGTGTTGATTGAGTTGTGTTATTCATATGTGATTTTGACTTATTACAAGATGTGTTGTTATGTTACAAATTGAGGAGTGATATTGTGTTGTTCAAGTTGAAAACATGTTATGTTATGTTGTGTTAAAAGTTGTAAGTTGGTATTGTGTGCTAGTAAGTTGGGTTGTTATGTTGATAGTATAGTTGTTTTTACTTTTATACTATTTATGTTGATTCTTTAAGCTCTAATTTGTCCTTGCATATTTTCATGCAGTTAAACTATGATGATTATACTTGGCATGTGAGTAGAATGGTGATAAGTTATTGATAAAGCTTATTTTGAGGTCATGTTGATAGATGGCAACATAATTGGAGGGCTACTTTTATATTACCTTTTATTGTAGTTGTTTGACCGACAACTTATATTACATTAAAGTCATTTCTTTTGGATTATTGTATATGCACACACACATATATATACACACGTGTGTGTTTAGTGTTTCAAATGTTGGTGTAAATTTTTTGTATATGTATATATTATGATTAGTACATCTAGGATATGATAGTACGATAACCTTAGATAATACCTGTTTTCGCTACTAGTTATAAATTTCATAAGGTATAAAGAGTATGACATGTTAGTACAAAATAATATGATTTTAAAAAAAAATTTAACTTTTTACTTACTTTTATGTTATTTTTACCTTTTTACAATACTTTTTTAATTGAACTTCAATTACATTTGATAGTTTCATATAATTGATTTTGATGTGACAACTTTTAAGTCTTCGATAAGTCAAAAATGGATTCAAAAGGGTTCTTATCTAAATCTGCAAGTTTACCGATGGCTGAAATAATGTCTTTGTTGCTCTGTATCAACAAAGACGAAGACACTTATAAAGACACTTCGAAACTTAAATTAAAGGAAAGTTTAAGTTAAAAATGATATTAGGTGCCCCATATATAGGTGATACATCATATCTCTAAGTTTAAGAATAATGCTATATGATGTCTTCAAGATATATCTTTCAATGATTCCGTAAAGATATTTTTCTTGACGAGTTAGATGAATATAATCTACTTAATTACGACATCCTGGAAGATACTTATACCAAGATATCATGTTAATTATTAGGAGCTAACCATATATAATTTTGCTTTATGGTGATTGACTTGAGAACTAGTGTGGGTGAGTAAGAGAAGGTCGATCTCATCGAGTTAGATGGTATAAAAATGACATCTCAAAATTATATTTCTACAATACATTAATTTTATTTTTCTTTTGTTCTCATTAAAAATTGTTGATATGTATTTCTTATTGTTGGATGATGAGATTTTTTTTTAAAAAAAATAAATGTTCTCTGTCACTTTTTAAATTTTTTTATTGTTATTTATTACACTTATTGATATTTTTGCACAAACTTTAACATAGAGTAATATGTTTACTTCTTCTATAAAAGTTTAATAATAAATAAAAAGATAAATAGACATATCATAATTTTATTTTATAAATTTAATAAAATCAACTAACATAACTATTTATATTAATATTATAATTTGATTAAAAAGACTTAATAATAAGGGTAAATTTTTTTAAAAAGAAAAATTGCATAATTTATTTATAAAATTAATTTGTAATTCTTATAAAATGATTAAATTTTATAGGATTAAAAATAATTATATTTCAGTTAATTTGAATGATTTAAAATTAGTTTTGCGAAATTAGTTGTATTTATTTAAAATTGATTAAGAGCTAAGAACCCTAAAATCATAGGGTTGAAATGTGAGATTCCGCAAATGATGCCGCCATAGGAAGAGAACAATAGTGTTTGTCAAACCATCATCATCATAGCGTTGAGTCCACAGAAGAAGTTGTTGCAGGCCTTATCTACATTCAGTTTGCCAGACACGTGGCACAATCCTTGTTTATGGGAGACACGTGGCATCATCCTTATGTTTCTAGATCAGGGACGGACAACTTCCCGCCGGCCACTCCTCTGCAGCAACGTGCCACCCTCCTCGTTCTTCATCTTTTCACATTAGAATTAAAATTATTATTATTATTATTATTATTATTATTATTATTATTATTATTATTATTATTATTATACAATGAAAATCAACCACAATAAATAAATTAGTCCATGTCTCTGATTTATCTATTCAGAATTTACCAACCCAAAAGATGCAACCATGCACACATAATACAGTTTAATAAATGGAATTTTATAAATCAACTACTAATATTCTATATCGTTAAAATTACCTATAAATATTACTATTAATGACTCTAAAATTTAATATGCCTTTTGAATCTGAAAGACAAAAATTAAAACCTTTTCTTATAAGCTCTTTTGTAGAAGGATGTGTTTCATCTAAATATACAAAATAAAGTCTTACGTTAAGAGAAACAGTAATAAAGTGCATTGCTGATAAAAAAAAAAAAACAGTTTATATTGTTAATATCTGCATAAAAAATATGAAATTATTAAATTTCATTCTCATTTTCGCTAACGATTAGATTTTCAATGAGTAATTTAATTCGTCGGATAAATATTAGTTAAAGGATCCTTAGGTGTCAAAAGAAATACAGCTTTGATTTGAATATAAGTGGCATAAAGTTTTTTCAATATTTAATGGTTGAATAGTTTACGGAGATTCTCAATCTCTCAACCTTTAAATAAGGTGGAATACGTTGATTATTTTATTTTATTTTTAATTTCTGGGAAGCCAATTATAAATTATAATGAGTGGAAAAGGCGCAATTGGCTTAAGAGAATATATTCTATAATTAAATATTATTATTTATTAAATATCAGACCTTATACTTTTAAGACTCGGCGTAAATGATGTTTATGAAAAAAAAAGCAAAAAGAAAGGAACAAACAGGAAATGGTGGGATCCACTTGATCCATTCGGAAGATTATATCCAATCCCTGATCAAACGGTCCACAGTCAACCATTTCTCGGTCCTCACCAGAAACATCCAATGTAAAAAGAATAACAATACTTATTATTTTTCCAAAGGATAATCTTGATAGAAGAATTAAAATACGTTAGTTTAGGAATATTTTATTATATTTAAAACAAAATATCAAAAACAATTTTTTTTTTATTTTTTATTTTATATATATTGCAGCACATGGTCTGAAGAGACTTGTTATGTTGGGTGGGTTGTTATTATTGAATTGAATGAGGATAAGATGTCACCGTCCTTGACGCTTTATTCTTTATTTATTTTCTACGACAATTGTTATAAGTTTAATTGAACCAACACTTAAGATTAAAAAATTGATTTATCTATCCCTGTGTGGGAAAAAAATCTGATACCCATGTGCATGTGCTATCCACCCCATATTTATACCCTCACAAACTCATCCCATTCCTCTTTGCTGTTGTCTGTTGCGTTGCCTCTTTCATTTCATTCCTCTCTTCTCTGCCAAAACGATGCCGTTTGCTCTGGAAAATAACGGAGTTACCATCGGACGCTCCTCCTTCGTCCACTGCGTCTCCATCTGCGATCGCGGTTTTCCGCCCGAAGATTCCGACTCCAGCTCCGACTCCTCCATCGGAAGGAACACCACCTCGTCGGAAGATTCCTCTGACCGGGAAGACGCCGCCGAAGTGGAGGTTCAGAGCTCCTTCAAAGGCCCTTTGGATACCATCAACGATCTAGAGGACGATTTGCCTGTCAAGTTAGTTTTTTTCTCTCTTTTTCTTCACTGGGTCTTCCTCAAGCTTCAAACTTTTCCTTTACCATCGTTGATTTGTTACTCAGTTTGTATTTGGAGTAAAGAGCACAAAATATGTTTTTTAGCGCGTAATTTACCGTTTTACCCCTGAGGGTTTCTCAGTCTATTATTACCAGTGTTGTCAACGAGGATGATTCTGTTCCCTTATTTATCTTGAGTGACTACTGCGGGAAGAAGCATCTAGGTGGTGGGTTTGTGGCTTTATGGCTATTATTTATCTTGAGAAAATTAAATTCCATACAGCAGTTGTATAGCATTTTCTTTTTTACTTAAGATAATCTATTAATTAATTTAGTGATCTGCTTTTGTGGTTGGGGTAAGGGGTAAGTGGTTTACAGAATATATCTAGTTCCAGAAGTTTCCTTAAAGAAGTGCTGAAATTGATAGGCACAATGGATCTCCACCACCAAAAGATTGGTGAGTTGAGATTGAGCAGCTTTCTATGATATTCGTGGGGGCGTGTTTAAATATTGTAGGGCCTTGTTATCTTTAATATAGCTGTAGGGTGAGCTTCTTCATTTAAGAAGCAAATTAAACAACTTAATGATGCATTTGTGGATAGAATTCATTTTAAAACTTATTAAACCATTTAACCCATCTGTGACCCATTGCAACAAATAGGATGGATGGATGATACCCAGCGTATCTATTAAAAATCATGTTTTGGTCTCTAGTAAATAACCTTATCCAAAGTAATTCATTCTTCTGACATACATTTCTTCAAATACCGTCCATTCTGAACCTTAGTATCTCTCTAATAAATGCAACAAGGCTCCTGCGTCCAAAGATATTTCACTTTTTGTACCTTGGGGATGTCCAATATATATTTTGGTTGGTTCATTAACTACGTATTGACCAAGTCTAAAACTAATCCAATCCATTAATCTATTAATATAACTGGATTTATGTATGATGTATTGGGAATAGATAATGGATGACAAATCCAACAAAAATGTTAATAATAATACACTTTTTGAACACATTTTTTTTATTATTGACTAAAATATATTAGAAATCATATAATTATGTAGTTTCTAGTAATTTTTAACCAATAATACGTGTTAAAAAGGAGTATGTTAGAAAATATGTTAAAAACAAACTCTTATCTTACCATTACTACTGAGATGACAAAAAGTTGTACGTAATAGGTTAAAAAGAAAGTGTCATGTTCCGGGTATTAGCTACTATGATTGAATGACACTATATAAGCTCCTGTTTTGCGTGCCACTGTATATCCCGAAACTTTAGCCATTGCCTTCTGTTCAAAGAGAGAAATTACTGATTCAGTGATTGATGACCAAATTACTGATGTGAAATTTTTAACTTTTGATTTTAGACTTGAATACATTTTTATGAACTCATGTCATTTTGTTTTGTGCAATTCAGGAAAGGCATATCCAAGTTTTACAGTGGCAAATCCAAGTCCTTCACAAGCCTAGCAGATGCTGCAGGTGCAACCTCCATGCAAGAGATAGTGAAGCCAGAGGATCCTTATGCCAAGAAACGCAAGAACTTAATAGCGCGCCACGTGTCGATTGAGAGGAGCCGCAGTTGTGCAGATAACATTGGTGGAATATCAAAGCGACCCGCCAACATAGGTCGAGGAGCATCTTGTCTGAATTTGAGCAGCAGTGAAGAGGGCAATAGTAGCTCCACATCAATATCTCCTCCCTGCCCTCTTCCTCCTCTTCATCCACGAGCCAATAGGTCATCACTGCCTCAACCTTCTGCCGCACGAAATTCTCCTTGGAGGTCATATTCTTGGACTGATCTGCACTCTGTTGCTGAGGCGCATGATATATCTGGTTTGGCCATTTGTAGTGGAAACTAAGTGCATTCAATTTTTGACACAAATATAACCCTTTTAGTTGGTAGCTGCCTGCCAGTGAGTTTAGTTCACATTCGAGTTTGTTTGTGATTGTAATGGCACGGTACTTTGTGAACTCCTCAATGTCCTGTCCTATGTGTACCCAACTGACTAGTCTCTTCTGTTCTGTTGTATATTATATCTCAGCTTTTGCTTATCTTTCCCTCCTGCTGCAATGCAAGCCTACTTATTAAGTTGAGAATAGTCACTATTGTGGAGATAATCACAATTTGAATGCAACTGTTAGCACTCAACAATTAAAAGAAAGAAAAAAGGATCCGAAAGATGATAAAAGCCCTGTTGAAATCGATTTGTACAGTTAATGGCAGAGGCTTACTCAATTCTTCAATCCTCTGTGCGGTTGGATTTGTTTCTTTCGTTGCACGTTGTGTTCTATGAAATTTTCTAGGGGTGAGTGGGTCATGATCAACTCACAAACTCGAGAAGACAAGTTTTCTTTTTAAAAAATCATACATGTCAACTAATAAAAAATTAAGAAATACTAAATAGTGACTTTTAATACATGATCAAGTAAAAAATTTACGCTGATAATGTATCATAATTAAATTTTAACAATATTAGTATTAAATTTTAACAATATTATCTTAACAATTTTAAGATGATTATTGTATATGATTGGCTTAACATATTATCTTTACAATTTTAAGTTAAAAAAGTTACCAATCAATTATATACAATTATTGTAAAAGCTAAAAAAGTTATCGTCAGCCAGTTGTATATGAGATGTAAGTATAAACTTTACGCTGAGTGAGTTCTAGCCTTCCTTTTCATCTAATATTTAACATAAGTCGATTCCGTCCCATAAAAAATATGTATTCTTATAATTTATTGGTATTTTTTTAATTAATAAAAATTATAATGAAAATAAAAAGATTCGAATTTCATGTTATATATACTATTCTTTTATTTTTATTTTTTATTATTAGGTGGATCTCATTGTTCATGATTAATAGGTATAATTATCTTGGTTAAAACTTGCTTTTTTCTCCCTTTGCATACCTATTTTTAAAATTTGTCTCCTAGTATCAATTAAAACTCACATAATTTGATCACGAAACTGAACAATCAATTTTTACAATGTGCCTAAGCCTATGACGAGCCTTTCACACTTTTACCATATAATCAAGTTTTGGGCATAATTGATCCACCACTAATGGATTTTTTTTTTTTTTTTTTTATCAATGAGAATTGAAATTGGTATTAAACAGTTTATAATACTTGCATATACCTTTCAATCAGCTAAGTTAAATCCCATTGGTCAAAGTGCTAATGAATTAAAACCAAAATCAATACAGCCAATTATCTTTAACTTTATTTTACCAATAATAATATAAGATTGATAATTCAACCCTATGTGTTACATTAATTGGCATTGAATGAGAAGAGAAGTTAATGATGTTTTTAATTGGGCGGTTTTAAGGGAGGAAGGGAAATTGAGAGGAGAAAGATAAAACAAAGTAAAACTCAAGTTTTCATGGTTTCATTTGATACCGTAGGTTTCATGTATATTTATTTTAAAAAATAACATTAAAAATAAAATAATATTATGATAATACAATAATAATATAGTAAAAAAAATTAAACTTTTTTGAGTTACATTTAAATTTTTACTTAGTATAAAAAAAAAATTTATTAATTTTTTTCGTTCACTGTTTCACTCATTTAAATAAGCAAAGAAGAACTTTCATTCTTTTTCCTTTTCTATATTTATATCTAAACAATACATTTTATCTGCCTATAATTATCTTTATTCTTTATATTTTTTTTCTTTCGCATTTCTTTGCAATGAATTTCATCTCTAATGCAATTCATCTCTCTCTTTTTCTTTTTTTTTTCTTTTTCTATTTCTATGCAAAAGCTCAACAATCAAATATTCCTTTATCTTTTCACGTTAAAAACGAAAGTGTGAAAATTTTTTTTAAGTGAAATACCCTTATTTTACCTTATTTTCCTTCATTTGTCACTTATCATGATTAATTTTTTTTATCGAAAATTAGTTAACTAATTATAGTAAACAAAATTAATAATTTTTTCAAATTTATAAAACTTTAGCTGAAATTGTATTTAATAAATTTGAATTTTGATGCACTTCGACTAATGTATGTAGGTTTCTCCACTATAATTCCTCTCATCTTATATATATTTTTATCAAAACAAAGAAAGTGCACTTTATAGCTTTATAAAATTTAGAAAGAAGAAAATACTTTTTTATTTATTTATTGATAAATATTTATTTAAATTTTATTATAAATTAATATATATTTGGTTTTTTACTTTTTAAAATATGTTTTATAAACTATTTCCCTGAAATCTTAATTAAAGAACAAATTGTGTCATACTATATATGAAAAATTATTCATTTATATATTACATTGATAGTATTGAATTTTATATTATAATTTGTTTTTCAAGTATATTTACTTACATATATATTATGTTAATATACATTCGATTTTTTTCATCAAATGTTTTATATATTTTTTAAAAAGCTTCAATTAAATAACAAAATTGTGTCATACTTTAGGAAAATATTTATTTACATATTTATATAAATATTACAATAATAGCATTGAAACCATATTTATAATTTTTTCAAGTAGTTTACTAAATAATAAAAAATATTTATTTGTATATTTGTAAAAGTATTACCTCAATAGCATTAAATAATGCACTAATATGTTTTTTTAAGTCTAATTACTTAAATGTAGATATACTCATATACATATACTCCAAATCAATATGTATAAATTACAAAATTTAAAATTTAAATTGTGGTCGTGCGCAATTATTATAACAAGAAAAAAACCTTTTACATTATTCATATCATTAAACCCTTCACCACTAGACTTACTAAATACTTAGTAGGTTGTGAGGTTATATATATATATA